AAAAAGCTGATTTTCCGCCGCACTCACTGGAAGCAGGCAGCGGTACTCTGCTTCTCACACAGGGTGGTGTTGACTGGCTGAGGGGACAGCTGTTCTCAGCAGAAGCAGGTCCTCCTCAATTCCCTGCCAGGATAGTGTCAGCAGGGTCCAGCAATGAGCTGAGCTTACATCCACTCTTGGCAGCAACCAGACTTAATGAGGCAGTAGGATGCGGGTTTGTCACAACTATGTCTCAATTCACATGCCACCCCCAGTGTCAGCATCAACAAGACTGAACAAGAAGGTGTGACTCAAGTCTAGTCACATCCCACTTTCTCCTCCAGCCCCCCATTCCCCCATGGAAGCTGTGCCTTAGCCCAATGGGTTCTGAGCCTCCACTCCCAGAGGTCGGGCTAGTTGGCCCTCTGTTTACGACCCTCTCCTCCCCCGGTGTCAATGAGGCTCAATGAGGAATTGAGAGCTGAGATTCCACTCAATTCCGCATCAACACAATGGTGTCAATAGGGTGTCTGCTTCCCAGCTCCCTGGTGGCACCCCCATTAAGAGGTATCTAGATGGCGTGAGTGAGTGCCTTACTTCTATGGTGAAGGTGTCAGACTCAACCATGACATTAGGGCAGTGTGAATGAGTGCTCCACTTTTGCCTGGGTGATGCTGGTGGAGTCCAGTGGGGGACTAAACATACAAAATCCCCTGGCTTCCTGCTATACTTCAACAGGGGTGACTGTCTGTTTAAGAAAGAAGATTAAGTGGGATTCAGAGTCCTATAATAGCCACAATATCCAAGATATGATTGAACATTACCCATCATACCAAAAACTAGGAAAACCACCACTTGAATGAGAAAAGAAAATCAACAGATGTCAAACCCAAGATGAATTAGATGTTGGAGTGATCTGACACAGATTTTAAAGCAGCCATTATAAAAATGCTTCAGTTAACAACTATAAATTATCTTGATACAAATGAAAAAATCTCAGCAAAGAAATAAATGTTATATAAGAAAAGAACCAAATGAAAATTATAGAACTAAAAAAATGAAAACAAAATAAAAAACTTGTTAGATGGGTTCAACTATAGATTGGAGATGACTATGGATTGAATTGGTGAACTTGAGGGCAGATCAATAGAATTTACCCAACCTGAACAACAGAGAGAAAATCAGCTGGGGCAAAAAAATGGACAGAGTCTCAGGAACCTATGGGCAATAACAAAAGAGCTAACATTTGTGTCAGTGGAGTT